AAAACCCTAAAACCCTAAAACCCCTGCGCCTCGGCCTCTCGCTCGGCCTCGGCCTCTAAGGTCTGCTCGCCAACCTCCGACAACGAGGGTTTAGGGTTTAGGGTTTAGGGTTTGGGGTTTAGGGTTTAGGGCCTAGGGCTCAGGGTTTTTGGTTTAGGGTTTAGGGTTTAGGGTCTCTTCGTTCTTGTTTTTTTGTCCTGGTTTAGGCTTTAGGACATAAAAGTGTTTTGGCGAGTCTGTCTTTGTAGTTTTAGTGTCATAGGGTGTTATGAGTGTTTAATAGGTGTTGCTTTCTTTTGTGGAGGTGGCGGTGGTGTGATGGTGGTGCTCTCTGTGTGTGCGCGGTTTATGTACGGTTAGTTAGCTTTTTGGGGGCGAGTAGGGGGCACGCTTTGCAACTCCGTTTAGGGCTCAGGGTTCGCACCTCCATGCCCTGCACCTCCAGCACGTTCTTGATGACCTTGGTGGAATTAGGGGTTTAGGGTTTAGGGAACAAGCAAGAGTGCATCAGGATCCTTATGATCCGGCTGCTACACCCAAACCCCAAACCCTGAGCCCTTACATTTAAAGTACCCGTTTAGAACCCCCCTCTAGAACTCCTTCCATAGCAAGCTTTCTCTAGCACGCCTTATAGAACCTCAAACCCTAAACCCTGAAACCCTAAACCCTAAAACCCCAAATCCTAAAACCTCAAACCCGTAGAACCCCAAACCCTAAACCCTTAGCACCCCAACCCCTAAACCCTAAAACCCCAAACCCTAAACCCTACACCCGTGCAACCCCAAACCCTAAACCCGAAAACCCCAAACCCTTGACGGTTTAGGGTTTAGGGTTTAGGGTTTAGGGCTTTTGGGCCTTACACCGACGGATGTTCGGGCTTGGTCGAGTGGTGGAGCAGCTGCGGTGGAAATTTTCGGTCACGAAACGCGGAAGACATGGCTTTTGAGGGTTTAGGCTTTAGGAGTTTCAGGGATTTGGGTTTAGGGTTCAGGGCTTAGGGTGTAGGGTTTAGGGGTTTAGGGCTTGGGGTTTAGGGGGTTAGGGCTTGGGGTTTAGGGGGTTAGGATTTAAAACTTAGAATTTACGGGATTTGGGTTTAAGGGTTTAGGGTTTGGGGTTTAGGGTTAGGGGATTTGGGTTCAGGGGGTTAGGGTTTAGGATTTACAAGGTTAGGGTTTGGGGTTGAGGGTCTAGGGTTTAGGGCTTAGGCGATTTGAGGCTTTAGGGTCTTCGGGTCTAGCCCGGGCCATCTTCACCCTCTTAGCCTTAAGTACACCCCGAACTTCAAGCCCTAAAAAAAAAAACTAAACCCTAGAATGCCCTAAACCCTAAAAAAAAAACCCAAACCCTAAAACGCCCTAAGCCCTAAAAGCCCCAAACCCCGTAGAATCCTCCACCTTTCAACTTTTAAACCCCCAAAAAAACCTACACCCCATACAGACCCCTAGACCTTAGGTTTCCACGCACGCCAAGCCCAAATATACCGGTCCCGTTGAGCGCCCGACCCACTCAACCGCCTGACGGTCTCCATCCGTGAGGATGTACCTTTGAGCAACGAGGACAAGAAGTCTCGCTAACTACTGTACGGGCCTTAATAATTAGAATGGGGTTTTGGGGCCCATTATGCTACAATCATAATAAGGAACCCCCCAAAATAGTATAGGGAATTATTTAGGCCCCTACATTACGACTTTACTCCCCCCTCCGTGTTATGACTGACATCTCGGCCGCAGGGTTTAGGGTTTAGGGCTTTGGGGGAGGGGGGGGGAGGCTTAAGCTCGGAGCTGACGGGGCGGCGAAGGTGTTAAGGTTTAGGGTTTAGGGTTTAGGGTTAAGGGTTTAGGGTATAACAAAACAGCATTTTGAATCCCTAAACCCTTAACCCTAACCCGTGAAACAAAACACTTGATATAGGGGCCTTCATAATTAGAAGAGGGATTTGGGGTATGTTATGCTAATACATATAAGAAGGAACCCTCAAAATAGTATTGGTAAGTATTTAGGCCCCTACATTAAGCCTGAACTCCAAAAGCCAGGGTGCTTCGTGTACTCGTCGGCTTTTCCTTGCACAATCTGGAGCAGCCCTCTGGGCACAGGCACCTGGGGGCTGCCTTAAGGTTCGGGGTTTAGCTTAGGATTGAGGGTTCTGCTCTTTTCCCGGCTTTGCGTTCTAGTATTGAAGTTTTTTGTATGAACTCCGATGAGCGATGGGAAGCTATTTCTGGTGTTTTGAAAGGCGATTAAATGTGGCTTCAGGAGTTTTAAGGCTTTGGCTGTATGGGTTTAGGGTTTGGGGAAGTTCGACTGAAAGCCAAAAACATGAAGGTAACCCGACAGTTTCTGACAACCCCGCAGCCACGTCATCATTCGAAAGGGTAGAGGGTTTCGGGTTCAGCGTTTAGGGCTTTACGGTTTNNGTTTAGGGTTTAGGGTTTAGTCATTTCTGACCTCTAACATGGCCCCAATCCCCGCGCCCGAAACTTGTCAAAGCCCCTGGCTCAACCCTCAAAAAAGAAATTATGCATAGACAGCCCGCTCAAAAAAAGAACGCTGCAAACCCCTCAACAAAGAAACATGAAAAAAATATATCGATCGATCTATCTGTCTATCTA